ACGGTTTGTTGGTTTTTTGGTTTTTTTCATCTGGGCAATATGAGGGAGATAAGTGGCCTAGGCCAGAAGCCTGGAGTTCTTGGGAGGAAAAGTTTCCCCAAGACTTCCTGTTGAAGATTTGCCTCTGAGGTGCCTCAGAGCCTGCCTGCTGTGGTCAGAGCCTTGCAGATGCCACTGTGGCTGGGGGGAGGGTGCAGCACAGGATAGGAAGTCAGTGGAAACCAGAGCGATGCACCAAACCTACATGACTCCTTCAAGGGGTCTCAGTTTTGACTCATTTGCAGGACAGATAGGCCATTGTCTGCAGCGAAATTGCTGGCTCTTGTTTTTTTGAGTCTCACTTCTAGATGGAGAATTTACCTCCTGTAGGAGTTTGCTGTAGAGGTGTGAGGGTTGTATAAAGGATGTAAGAAAAACTGAAGTCCGAGTTAGAGAAGAGAAAGGAGTGGGTCTCAGCCATAATGGGATTCCACCTGTATCCTCTTTTTTTTTTTTTTGAGAGGGCATCTCTCATATTTATTGATCATATGGTTGTTAACAACAATAAAATTCTGTACAGGGGACTCAATGCACAATCATTAATCAACCCCGAGCTTAATTCTCAACAGTCTACAATCTTCTGAAGCATAACGAACAAGTTCTTACATAGTGAATAAGTTCTTACATGGTGAACAGTGCAAGGGCAGTCATCACAGAAACTTTCGATTTTGATCACGCATCATGAACTATAAACAATCAGGTCAAATATGATTATTCATTTGATTTTTATACTTGATTTATATGTGAATCCCACATTTCTCCCTTATTATTATTATTATTTTTTTAATAAAATGCTGAAGTGGTAGGTAGATGCAAAATAAAGGTAGAAAACATAGTTTAGTGCTGTAAGAGGGCAAATGTAGATGATCAGGTGTGTGTCTATAGACTAAGTATTAATCCAAGCTAGACAAGGGCAACAAAACATCCACGGATGCAGAAGATTTCTCTCAAAACAGGGGGGGTGAGGTTCTAAGCCTCACCTCTGTTGATCCCCAATTTCTCACCTGATGGCCCCCCTGCGACTGTGCCTGTCTTAGGTTGTTCCTCCCTTGAGGAATCTTACCCGTCTCTGGCTAACCAGTCATCTTCCGGGGCCATACAGGGTAATGTAAAGTTGATAAGTGAGAGAGAAGCAATATTGTTTGAAAAGGTTAGCTTTTTACTTCTTTGCAGATTATGCCCTGTGTGTATCCTCTTTCTTGAAGAGAGAGCCAGAGCCCCAATGTGGTTGGTCACATGACCTTGGACAGCCACTGCCTGTGGAGCACTGATTAAGAGCCAGGCACTGTGCTAGGCACTTTGCATACCTTATTTTGTTTAATCCTCACCACAGCACTTTTAAGAAGAGATGTCTACACCCATTTTAGGATGAGGAAGCTGACTACCTTAGGTAACTTGCCCAAGGTCACATAGCTAAGAAGTGGTTAGAGTCAGGAGTCAAATGCAGGCCTATCTCACTCTAAAATTAATGTCTTGTGTACTCCTTGGCCACCCACTCTGTTTTTTTCACCAAGGAGATTAGGTGTCCCTTGACAATCTGACATCTCCAATTTTGGTCTGAGTGCCTGAGACCTGAAAACAGGTTTTGATGGTCAGGAAGTAGTGCTGCTTCTTAGTAACAATAAAATTGGCCTACCTGGTCTTTACTCTTGTCTGTTTACCTAGTCTGAATAGACCCTACTTTTTCTTTCTGCAAGTCTGTGTGTGCCCTGCCCTCTAGTGGTATTAGCTTGCAATGCAACAATGACCTTGAGTTACTAACCTTAACTCTTAGAATTCTTCCCTTGAATAGGGATGTCCTTACAATGGTGGGCACTAGCGCATTAATATTTCTGGGGAAATGACACCTTCCCCAATCTGACTCCTAAAACAGTGGTTTCCAAACTTTATGATGTACTTTTGATTCATAGTCTAGGGTGAGACCCAGGAATGTGACTTTTTAGATTCCCCATGTAATACTGATGCAGGCAATTTGCAGGCCACAATCCTGAGATACAATGCTCTGTAATAACTCTATTCTCAAACTCTCCCTGAATCTCAACTCAAGCACCCTTGAGCTTTGGGGAATATGGGACCAAATTAGCCACTCCCCTTTGCCAGCCATAATATTGAGTTTCCTGGAGGTCATGGCTTGGATTGTCAGGGAAGGAGGCTGCAGCTGCCCCAGCCTCCATGTTGAGTGAGGTTAGCTCTAGCTGATCTGGCAGGGAGAAAGTGAAAGAAGCTAATATTTAGTGCACCAACTGTGGGCCAATGGGCCAGGTACTGTGCTAGGTATTTTTAAACATAATCCTTTTATAAACCCTACAATAAACATGAATTTATTATTCATTCTATGGTGTAGATGGGGAAATTGAGGCTCAGAGATGCTATTTTCAAGTTCACAACTGGTAAGAACTGAAATTTGAATCCAAGTTTGTCTAACTCAGTAGCTCTAAACTGAAGGTATGTTTAGTCACCAGGGGACTTCTGGTAATATCTGGAGACACTTCTGAATGTCATAACTGGGAGCAGGGGTGCTGCTAATGACATCTAGTGGGCCAAGGATGCTGCTGAACATGCTACTATGTACAGGACAAGCCCCTACTACAAGAAATTACCCAGCCCCAAATGTCAGGGTGCTAAGGTTGAGAAACCCTGGACTCAATGCCTGTGCTTTTGCTCTGTAGGGTGGGAAGGTAAGGGGTTGGAGAGTCAGCAGAACAAAATGCAGAAAAGCATACCCTAAAGGGCCTTGGGTGGGAGGGGGATGGGACTTCTATGCTGAGGTTAATGGAGAATCGGGACAGCTGGTGAGATTTCTTCCAGGGTTGGCCAAAGCCCTGCTCAGTTTCTCCCAACCTTGCCAAGTTAGTCCTGGGACTTCACATAAAATTTGTCCTGGAGTGACCCTGACTTCCAGCTCAGGGTTGTGGCAAAATATCTTCCTGGGTCTTCCTGCAGGTCTTCCCAGCCAACGCCCCTGGGGCCAAAATATTCCACTTAACAGTCCCTGGGAAGCTCCACATCAGCACCATTGTTCTGGAGGGTGAGAGTGTAACAACTGGAGCAGCCAAGGGCCAGATGGTATCTAAGAACAGTTTTAAGTGCTGTGAAAGGGCAAAGCCAGTAGGATCACTTTAGCAAGCTCCTGTCTAGGGAGGAATAGGGAATATAGAGCAGGATGTAGGGACAACTGGCCTGGGAAGCAGGGTTCTAACCCCAGAGGTTTGTTTTACATAGCCATTCTCCTTTAGGTTTGGTATGCAGCTCCTCAGGACCTTTCCCAGTGCCAATTCCTGGAGCTCCCACACACCCAGCCAGTCACCATCATGGGCCTCCCAATACTGGCCTCCCAGGGAGGCAGGGTCTAAGCTGACTGTGCTGACAGGAAATACCTCTCGTTCCAAGCTCAGAACCTCTGGAGAACTAACCAGCAGATTAGGAGAGAGGAAGAGGGGGAGGAGGAGGGAGACAGTCTTGGTGTGAGAGGGAAGAGGAAAGAACATACAACCAAGGTCCCTCATATTTGAGGATCCATCTCCATCCTTCCCTCTCCACCGGTGGCAAGTGTGTTAGGGGAGAAACAAGGCAATGCAGTCGAGCAGGCCAGGAGGAAGATGTGGTAACAGCTGATTCGTTCCCTGAGGTCACACTTTCCAACAATCAGCTGTTACTAGGGTGGAAGGCAGGAAGTGTCTTAAAGGCACAATGTTCTGAACACAGGCTCAGAATTCTGTAGCTGCTAGAAACCATAGTCATTTGGTGGAGTCCTCAATTCGGTTGGTAACACGGAAAAGTCGAGGACACTTGTCCACACGTTCCTCTTTGGCGGTTGGGGTGGGGGTGGGGCTCTGATGAGTTGGAGTGGGTCCCAGATTTGCCCCTTTAAATAAGTGGTTCAGCAGCTTTTGCCAAGTCATTGGGTTCTTCACAGATTTTGTCCCCCCCAGGCTCTGATTGGTCCCTGGGGAAAGAGCAGCCTCTTCATTGGCCTCCACCTTTGTAATCTCTTCCCTAAATAGGCCTGGGTCAGTAAAAAGCTTTTGGAAGGCGGGACAGAATTGGGGTATTAGGCGGAGGATAGGGTGGCTGACCAGATGCAGCTCGGCACGTCCCATCCTCTAGTTTCTGACCACAAGCCTTTCTTTTGCCCTCAGGTGAGGACTGTGCTATGAATCCTTCGTTAAGAAGCTGCTACTTTGAGAGGCTCTTGTCTCTCTGCGACTAGGACGAGACATCTATAAGTCTCCTGGTTAGGAAGGGCCCTCCCAAGAGGGGTGGACTAGATCTCAACAGTGAAAGCTGGGGCTAGGGGAGGGCAGTCCACCCTCTCCCCAAAGCCCTCAAGATTCCTCATTTAATGCAAGGGTCAGCTGCCCTTGGAGCTAAGTTCCACCCACTCCTGTTGCTTCGTCTGCTACACCTTTCCTTAGAGAGCTGTGGCCTCCTGTAGAGGTCAGCAAATCCGTTTGGGGGTTGTCTAGAAGAAGCACTCATGGCTCCGAAAAGGAGGGGCTGTAGCCCTTTAAGGACTTCGCCGGGATGAATTCAGAGATGAGTTTAAAAATGCCAACTCACAGAGCGCGCTGGATTCTGGGAACGGGGTGTCAGACCGAGAACTACATTGACCAGTGTGCACTGCAAACACACGCGCCTTCACTTCCTTCTGCTCTTAAGGACTCTGGTTTGACGTAGTTCTCTTCAAAGCGAGCAATCTAGGCTGCGGGCTGAGCCACACCCTTTCACCTATTGGCTAACTCGTGAGTTGGTGGGCGTGGCTTAGTGCAATTCTCCAGGCAAAGCGAGGGGCCTCCTTGCCAATCAGAACTAAGGAGGCCGGAGAGGCGGGACCAAGGCGAAGGGCTAGCGCCCCCGAGTGGGTGTGGTCACGCTGCCCAGCAGTGGGAGGTGATTGGCCTTGGGCGGTGCAATCGCCTCTTGTGCGTCACGACGCCGCCAGCTGATCGGAGACTGGAGCCGGTGTGTGCTGGGCGCTGGGAAGAGAGAGCGCCGCCGGCCGTGGGGAACGGACGCACTGATTTGCTCCCGTAACCTCAGCACCCCCTCCTCACCCACCCAGCACCAGGTGGGTGTGAGCTGGGATTCCGGCCTCACAGGAGGGAAACATGCTAAAAGGGTAATGGGGGAAAGTAGGGTCCTGGCGGCCACACCCTGCCCTTCCGGGGGAGAGAAGAGGGGGCGGCGAGGGCACCCGCGCTCGGGGGAGAGGGGCCTGGATTAGCTGGAGTAGAGTGTCAGGAGGTTTAAGGAGACTCCAGGACAGAGTCGTGTTGGAAGGTTTTGCGGAGTAGTCGGGAAGAAGACGAGGAACTGGAGGTCTGGGGGCGGCTAACCACTGAGCCTTCTGGTAGGAGGATACGGGAACCAGACTCTCACCTTGTACCTTGGAGGATTGATTTGGACCGGTAGGCTAGCGGGGAGGTGCTTTGCCTTTGCCGACACTCACTAAATCAGGGCCAGTTAAGCGCCCTGGCAGAGAAGGGGTCTCTGGGCGGGCCGGCCCCTCCTCTCCTTCCCTCCAGGGGATGTTATGTAAGGGGGGAGGAGGAAGGAGTAGGGGGCGGCGGTGCGGGGGCTTTATGCAACCCAAAGGTTATGGTTTCACCGCGGTTAGTGGGGGTAGCGGGCAGGAGGAGGACCTGGAAACTCTACCCCCACACCGCCCAGTCTAACTGGCTGTCTTGGGCCAAGAGAAGGTCACCTCTGCACCTCCCCCAAGCCTGTCTGGTTGTGGGGCCCCTAGTCCAGGCCTGGCCCTGACCGCCTGGGAAGCCGGCTCGCTGGGTGGGGCGCCTGGGTTAGTCATCACTGGGCTCCCTCTCTCCCCACCTCTCGGCCAACTCTTGGCCCCTCCCTGTAGCCTCTGGCTAGGCTATAGCCCCCACCTCCCTCTGGCCCTAGTTACAGCCTCCAACTCTTTTGGCCTGTCATCTTGGCTGTCACACTGGGCTGGGGGTTGTCAGGGTGCCAAAGGGTTGATGGAGCAGCTGGTCAGAGGGTCAGTGCCCTGGGCCCACCCCGCCCTGCAGCCAAGGGCACCTGCTTGGCACAGACTCTCGGCAGCCGCTGAGTCCTTTGGGCTGAATGGAGCCCAGCTCAGGATTAGGAAGAAGTTAAACTGGTCACCTGGGGGAAGAAAGATACCATAAAGTTTTTGCCTCACAAGAGGGTTTTGTTATTTGAAACCCTCCCACCGCCACCATAATCTTATTTTGTGAGTAGAGAAGTCTCAAGGCAGAACCACCGCCTTGGACCCTCAGAGTTAATGGGCCCTGCCCCTGGACTAAGTGTCAGCACAGACCGTCCCTCCCTAGATCAGGGCCCTGGAGCCTGCCACGCCCCCAGCCCCCTCCCTGGGCCATGCTGTGGCCCGGCTTTTCCTGCTGATTCATGCGTTGGAACTGTGGGGGCGGGGCTTGGAACTTGGAACAAAGTTCAGACATGGAGGGGCCGGCAGACAGGCTGGAATTCATACCAGATGTACCCGGAATGCGCAAACGGAATGCCTGGCATTTGAGAGTCCTGGGGAAGCTGCCCATCCACCCTGCCATACCTCCCTCCCATCCAGCCTTTGGTACCCTGTCCTCTCCTCTCAGTCCCAGGAAACCTCTACTGACCTTCCAAACTCTAGACCTCCTCCCTTCCTCACTCTTCCCCAGATGTAGACCCCTAAAACTCTTCTTCTAGCTGAAATCACTGGAAACAAGTTGGGCTGAGCACTGAACTCACATTTGTGGACCTGAGGTACAACTTCTCACCTAATATCCCTGGGTGACTGAATGGGTGTGTGCAGGGTTCTAGGTTCTGCTCTCTGAATGCTGAGGAGGCTAGGGTCCTCTGTGGGTAGCTGGGGCGGGGTGGAGGAGGGGGCGGAGTGAGAGCAGGCTTTGGTTTCTACAGCCTTCAGTTCTGGGAAAAGGAGCAAGGAAGTATGCTTAGTATGCTTAGAACTGCCTCTTGATTCTCATTGAAGTTAACAGCTCCTGCAGGCCCAGGTCAAAGCTAAGAATTCTTCATTAGAAGGTTGAGCATTTGCTGGGACTGGACTTTAGTGGCCAGTGAGACAGTGTTCCTATGACATTGCGCTGCTCAGATCTTTCCCATTTTTCTTCCCTTACCCTTTAGGAGCCTGTACCTCCCACTTCCTCACCTGGCTGAGCTGCAGTAGTTCTTCAGTGGCAAGCTTTATGTCCTGACCCAGCTAAAGCTGCCAGTTGAAGAACTGTTGCCCTCTGCCCCTGGCTTCAAGGAGGAGGAGGAGGAAGAGGAGAGGAGCTGCTTTCCCCCTCATCTGGAAGGTGACAGAACTGGGGTTGGGAAAGTCTGGAATGACAGGGGGAGTAATGATACTTTTGGGGGAAATGAGCTCTTTTCAGTTGGAGAGCCTGCTCCCAGAGTGGCCCAGCAATAGAGAGAACAATTCTAGATTAAAGACCCTGGCTAAATGAAGGGATAGATGGTTCTGACTACCCAAGCAAGGTTAGTTGGTCTTTATGTGGTAATAGGAAGAAGTGGAGCACAGAAAACTCTGTCTACCCCTTTACCCAGATAACCATTGTTGACCCTCCTTCCTTGTCTCTCATTCTTTCCTACTGGCCTTTCCAGCTGAGGTCCAAAGATTTTCCTGATAAGATTCCTCCTCAGGAAAAAGGTCGTACTGAACCTAGTTGTTGCCCCCATGCTCTTACCTTTCCCTGAATTTCCTTAGACTGGCTCAGACTCTAGAGTCAGAGATAGTCACCTATATGTGGAATCCTGAGACCTGTTGTCTCAGCTTCTCCACCTGTGAGATGGGTAATCACACAGTTGAGTATGCACCAGGGAATCAGAAGCCCACTTGTGCAGACTCTGAGCCTGGGCTCTCCTCCCACTGTGGGTGGGAACAAAACAGCTTTTCACATAAGCTATTGTCCTCCCCCATCCCTGACCATAACCCCAGGAACTGGAGAGGGGGGTAGTTGGAGGGAGGGGCTGGGATTAGACCAATGCCAGGGGCTAGTAGGAACTCCGTCTCTACATTGACTTCCCACCATGCAAAGATGGACCTAGGCTTCCCCTGCCACCCAGTGCAGGACTGCGGCCTCTGATGGGCTTCCAGCTGCTGCTGCTCACTTTGCTTTCTAGGATTAATGTGTGAGACAGCTCAGGCCTGTGCAGGCAGGAAATTCTCCCCTCCAGCAACCAGGAGAGGTGGATTGCTGGATGTGATTCCCTTTGGGGCATCAGGCAGTGTAAGCCTGCCACCCCCACTGTTCTGTTTTGGAGTAGGAGGTGTGCAGGGAGCTGGGTCCTATTCTCCATTTATGAGAAACAGATATAGGGGAGAGTATATCGAGAGCTGGCTTATGTTGGGACTGTACGGTAGAGCAGGTGGGTAGACCGAGTCCACTTACAGGCTGCAACAAAGATCACTCTGTCCTTGGACATTGTTTCCATCCTTTCTTCCCCTCATTTCACTGGCCAGTGTCTCCCTCCAGCCTTGGGTTTGTGGCTCTGCCATCCTCACCTATCATGGAGCAGAGATGAGGAACAGCCTGGGAACTCAGAGGCAGGCAGAAGACCAGTGAAGGAGCAGGCCCAGAGAGCACAGAGATGCCTTATCTGGGCATCCTGCATAGAGGGCCCATAGAGGCCAGGAGCGTCAGAGGATGATGGAGGATAGCCAGCTGTCATCAAGGATAAGCTTCCAGCCATCTACTATATTCACCATTTCTCTCCAGTCTTTCTGCCTCCATCAGAGAGAGGCTTCATTCTCCTACTTCCATCTCTCCCCTACCCTGTAATTTTTATAAAAGCAGCTTCAAGGAGCAAGAGCCAGCTGTGAAAGGACATACACAGGAAATTCATAAATGAAGTTCAAATGGATAAAATCATGGAAAATGTGCTTCATTAGTAATTGAAGAAAGACAAATATACCTGGAAGCATTTACCCTTAGCAAAACTATAACAGGAAAAAAATAAGACCCAATATTGGCAAAGGAGTACTAAAGTAACACTCCGATACATTACATATTTGGGTACAAATTGGTACAGCTTTCCTGGATGTCAGTTTGGTAATAGGTGTCAAACACCTTAAAAGTTTCTGTGGTCTTTGACATTGTAAGTCTACTTTGGGGGTATAACCTAAGAAAATAAAGATTTAGTTCTAAGATGTTCATCCCAGCATTGCAATAGAGAAAAACAGGAAGCAACTGTCTGATTGGGAATTTGTTTCTTTTCTACTGTAATGACAATTTGCAATAGGGGATTGCTTAAGTAAATTACTGTATGTCCATCCAGATGGTGGGATATTGTGTAGCCATTAAAAGTCGTGTAGAGGAACATTTTGACTCAAAAGCAAAATACTTTTTGAATATTAAAAAGGTTATAAAAATGGCATATATTATGTGATCTCAGTTTTGTTTTTTTTAATATGGATGTATACTTGTGTACATAAAACATAAAAAAGACTGAGGATATACTCCAAAATGTTGAAATAGTGGTTATCTTTGGATGGTGGGATACAGTAATTATAATTTTCCTCTTTGGTTTGTCTGTAATTTCCAAATATTCTACATTAATTGTGTATGGTTTTCATATAATAAAATGTAAAAGAATCAGTGTAATTAAAAACAAAACAAAACTTGGATAGCTAGGCATGGAAGAATGAAAGGATGCCTCTAGCCCGTTGGAGAACTTAGTGGGGTTTTGGTGGAGAAAGGGGACTCTTCAGATGTTTGCAGGAGCACAATTGGTTTATGACCTCATTCTTATGGAGTAGCTGGAGTCAACCCTCTCCCTGTACAGGAAACAGCTCCCTGATTCTGGCTGTAAGCCAGCTAAAGAGGTGTGGAAGAAGACTGGAGGAAAACAGTAAAAACCTGTCACTCCTCAGGAGATGGGGGAAGATTTTCCTCTCCAGGCTGAAAGGTTCTAGAATACTAACAGGTCCTGCTGCTGAAAGCACTGACTGGTCTTTGTTTTTTTATTCTTCCCCAACCTTGAGGTGACCCTGTGTGACCTCTCCTTGCCTCCTCAGATTGGAAGAGATACTTTCCTATTCACTTAACGGGTGCCCAGCCCTGGGGAAGGGGTGCTGGCCGAAGTTTAGAGCTGTACCCTTTTGCCATCCCTTCCTAAGAGTAGGGCTCCTCTGTAGGGCTCCCAAAAAAGGTTGGGGGAGGAGTCTCCAGCGGTCGCTTCTCCAAAATGGGAGCTGCTATTCCGTTTGAGTCGTGCTATGTAAGGGGGCAGAACTGGAACAGTAGAGTTGCTGGGATGTGTTAAGAATCTGGAAACTGCGCGAAGTAGAATGAGCTGGCTCCATTCCCCAGAAAGTGAAATACACCTTCCCCCACCACTGAGACGGGGGCTGGTGCTGGGCAGTGCGGTGGCGAGGTTCAAGCAAGTGGGAGCGAACATGCGCTGGTTTCTTAAGGGCTGCCAGAGCGGTGGTGGAGGGGTGGTGACCTGCAAGTAAGAGGTTAAGAGTAGGGAAAAGACGTGAAAGTTAATGGGGCGGAGCCTCTGGGGATGTCAATTGAGATTCGGAGCTCCGAGGGGTTTAGGACACCGGGAGGTGGGGGAGTCTCCTATTGACATCCCGGAAGTCTGTTTCACTGGTTGGTCTCTGGAAGCCCCGAGCCCACCAACCCCTACTAGGGCGGGACGCGATCTGGTTGCCGTGGTTCCAGGGGCGGAGGCTCTACGGCTGCTCCAATCACCGCCCAGCCCAGGGATGGGGGCGTGGACGAGCCCGGTAAAAGTTACAGTAGATTCCAAACGCGGGGCGGGTGGGGTGCGGGGAGCCCAGGGGCACAACCGGAGTTCACAGTACTCGCAGTGGGTGTTGGATGCGCCTGGGCCGAGAGCGCTGGGGCGCACGGGCACTGATCCGGACCTAGCGCGACCACCAGGCCATGGCGCCCTCGGGCTCCTCGTGATAGGCACCTCCTTCGCCGCCTTCCGGGGGCTCCACTGGGGGCCGCAGCTGCTGCCCACGCCGCGTGTTGCTCGGGACCGTTCCAACTGGCGTACATCTGTGTCTCCCTGCTGCACAGCCTGCTCACGGGGCCCGGAGCGCTCGCTGCTCGGTGGTTCGTAAGGCACCGGGGTGAGGGTGGAGGCTAGGCTGAGATTAGAAGACACAGCGGGTTCCTTTAGAATTTATGCCAGACCTTGAGAGTCTGCGACTGGGTGCGGGTGTGCACAGTGGGAGACTGGGGTCCGGGGTCTGCATCGCTCCATGGACCACCATCTCCTACAGGTTGTCGCTATACCCTCAGATGGCCGCGGACCCTGTTCATGGCCACCCGCCCTGGGTCCTGGTGATGGTGGCTGTAGCAGGGTGAGTCTCCAGGGAACGCTGAACCCGTTGTGGGGGAGCAACCTTCCCACGGTAATTCCAGGTCCCCTTCCTCCTCTCTGGCAGGGGTTAAATGTTTCTGGCAGCTTTACTGAGGGAAACTAAAGAACTGGGTGAAGGAAAGGATGGGCATTCCTCTCCAGGGGCAGCAGTTTGGAGGAAGCCTGTCCCACCCTCTCCCCACTTGCTCACAGGTTATCTTCTGTCAGATGGAGCTGACATGCTATAGAACCAGACCTTGGGCCAAGCCTGGGAGCTTCTCGGTCACCATTTGGTGGTGAGACTCAGGAGAGGCAAGACAGGAAGTGTGACATACTAAGCCTGGGGGTCCCCAATCTCTTGTGAGCTTTCTGTCTATGATTTACCGAATCTCTGATGCTGTTGGCCAGCTTAATCCTCCCAAGCTTGGGCTGAATTTCAGGGGAGGGGATTGAATTCCACAGCTGGGAGTCTGAGCACTGCTTAAGGAACTTGGAGTCCACAGGTGTCCAGTTGATTGCAGAAACATTGAATATGGAGCTTTTCTGAGAAGGAGGAGTACCAACATAGGGAAAGGGGATGAAAGCCCAGGAATGGAAGTTACAGGGTAACTGCAGATGCTGCAGCCCTAGGGAAGACAGCCTCAGGGCCAGGGCTGCTCCCACCCTATGGAGGGGTTGTTTTAAGGCCACTGAGGCCCCCACTATAAGAGTAAGCATAAAGGTTGGTGTTCTGGGGGTGCTACAAAATGCTTGGTAGCCCCTCGCCTAAGCACTGTGATATTGGGACAAGATGGCAGGTCATGGAAGGTTCTCTGACCTCTGAGCCCAGTTCCCAGTAGCAAGCTGCCTTAGCACCTACATTCTGTCCAGCTACGACATGGACTTCTCTGTGTATCTCTGCTCCTGAAACTGAACTCTGCCTGCCTGCACCTACAGAAATAACTGCTGCTTTCTCACCAGGCCCCACTCTTGGCCTTCAGTGTGGCCAGCTGGCAACCCTGGCACTTTTCTCCCTGGTGCCTCTAGGGTGGATGAGTATGTTTTGATCTGGCAGATCACTAGGCACCTCTTGCTCTGGTCATCCTTGGTGGAACTGGGCTGGTCGCTGTGGATGCCATGAGCATCACTCTGTGTGTCTGCATTTTGGTCAGAGGTCCTCTGGTCTCAGCCCCATCCACCCATCCCTGGGCACAGGATATGTTGTGATGGTGTTACCTGGGATGATTCCACCTTCAGCCTAAAAGTAAAAGGCTAGAGAGACTTAGGCTCCTCTTCTGCAAGTCCTGGGGGAGGTAAGAACAGGAGAAGATGATGGTGGTCTTCAATGCATAGTCCTCCTTTGGGTTAAGGACTGGGCTGGATTTTCAGTATCTCATTTCCTCTTCCAGCTAATTCACCTCACTTGCCCATTCCTAGGATCTGAGAAATGCTGATGCTCTTGAATGGGTGGGAACCTGGGCCATGTTCACTGAATTTCATCATCAGATGACCACCTTTTCCAGCAAACTAACTCAAGAGGTACAGCCAGTGCTACCAGAAGGGGGTGACAGGAGGCCTGAAGCTAGACAAAACTGCCAATGGGAACAGAAAGCCTTTACGTTAGCACAGAGACAGGTATAAAGTCCTACTAGGATCAGATAGGTGTGGTATGGAGGGGGTGAGGTTAGAGGGAAGAGAGGCAGTGGGAGGAGGGCACAGCAGGTACTCTCCATAGCCAGGAGGACATAATAGTTGCCAAGAGACAGAAGAACCTGACAATTGCTGATACCTCTAGTTCTCAAAATCACACCATTTGTTTGTACTTAACCCTAGTCCTACTGTGTCCAGTATTTGCATTTTTAATTTGTTTAGTATCTTCTAACCTTTTCAAAGAAAATGTAGATTCCTAGAGGAATGAGCGTGGGGCTAGGTCCGTCTTCTTAGGACAGACTGAAGCCCAGAGCCGTGGCAGGAATTCAAATGCCCATTTTGGGTGCCCAGTGCAGGGTCTTCCAAGGTCCAGGGCTTTCATGAAAGAATGAGAGCAGAGGCAGAAGCAGATGAGGGAAGGCTTCCACTTGGCTGCAGAGGGATTAAGGAATATCTGACCATCTTCTGGGATTCATTCACAATCTCTTTCTCCCCTGCCACTTCTGCTGTTGTTGTTTTTTTTTCCTATTGTGTAAGGAGCCCTCCTTTTTTCAGGCAGAATATCCAGGTTATAGGAAGTTTAGAAGAGATTAAGTTGCTATTCTACTAAACATTGGACAGAAGAGATAACCTTAATCATCCACAGAAAAGATACATGAACAAAAGCAAGAGACAGGAAGATTAAAACAAAAAATTGTGCCAAAAAGCTGAGCTAGAGAAAGACAGAGGGGACAATCAAGATGGACATATGTAGACTGAGGGACAGATAGAGAGAGAAGGATTAGCTGCAGAGAAGAGACAGAGGCAAAGAGAGATAGAGAGCAAGATAGAGAATCCTTGGCAGCAACATCAAGAAAGACTCATAGACACTGAGAGGAACCAAAACTGTAGAACTGGTAAAATGGTCATAAACAAAGAGGACAAGAAAAATAGAAATAAAGGCTGATAGGAAGGGACCCTAAGGCTGGAAGGCCTAGATAGTCTAGACAGTGAAATAATGAGTGACAAGGAGGAACAACGAGACCAGGAGACATGGGGACAAGAGAGGCAGACAGATCAGCAGTGAAAAGAGAGGCAGAAAGGGAGACAAGGGGGAGACTGGTCAGGGGAGCTGTGAAGCAGAACAGAAGGTGAAGGAGGCAGTCAATGGAAAGATTCATTGACAGAAAAAGAAAGCAGGAAGTATGTTGAGTTGGAAACAGGCAGAATGACAAAAGACAAACAGCTACAGTGTGACCCACAGAGAGACTGACAGGAACTGATAGGCAGAAACTGGTAGGAAGATGAGGAGCAGTCAGGGTCAGGGATGTGCACTGAGATAGAATAGGCAGAGGCCTGAGGAGAATCACAGGAAGAGTGGGGGAGACACAAAAAGATTAAACATCCAAAGGAAGGAACAAGGAAAAGGAGGAAACACAGAGATTGAGAAAAAAGAATCGAGACAGGGGAAGAAAGAGAGGGAGGTGAGAGCTCACCATCATAGAGTTGTTAAAACCCAGGCACAAAAGGGAATAACAAACAGAGCCAGGAGAAACCGTGACAGAAGTAAATACAGGCAGAAAATATGAACAGAGGCTTTACATGTAATCAGAGTAAACCGGAGAGGCAAAGGTATGGAAGTTGTGATAGAAAAATAGTAGAATTCTGTCAGTTTGTCCTTAATAGAAGTTGTATCTTCAAAACTCAATTTGCCATCTTAACTGAACACCTTGATTAACAAAAACATTGTCTTGAGTTTTCAAAGAAAAAGAAATGTGGCAAACCCATGGGGAAATCTGTTCTCTAAAGTGTTGACGTCAATACCGATTGACTCGAAGCCCTGCACCTTTCCTTTTGCCACTCTCATAAATTCATGGTCCGAGTGATCCTGGTAATACTTGATAGTATCTGTGAGAGGTGCCCAGGAACCTGACCATTAGGGAAGTAAGATTGTTCCTGTGGGTCAAGTAGTAAAACCTGTCTGTGAAGGGTGAGGTGAGCTACTTGTGGGGACAGGACATGAGTGAACGTCTGAAGAGTTTTGGATCACGTGCCGATTTCCATCATGGTGGCCCAGTGAAACTTTAGGAAGGCAGGACTAGATTGTGACTGTAACTGATTAAATGGTTATCTCATCAACTAGGTCAGTTACAGATGGTGTGGACCAAATACAGATGAAGAAAATCAGAGAGGCATGGCTAAATAGAACCTTAGAAAGAGGCTCAGAAAACGCAGAGGTGGGCAGATGCTACCTTAGATACAGTGAGTTTGGTCACTGTGACGGCAGCCTGTTCAGACCTCGCCGTTGCCCAGTTACTGATTCCATACCTACT